GTTGTCTCCTTGTCAATTATCCTCATCTTTACATCTCCATACTCTTCATCCAAAGTTCTCATTCTTTCGCTTTTGGCATGTATAGTGTGATTTGTAGAGTAGATTATATCTACACTAAATGGTTGACATAGCTGGTAAAATAAGGGATTTTGCAGCTTACCTATTGGTGGAAACTCACTCTTCAAATTTCTCAACGGGGAAATCGTGAGGTAGTGCAACAAGATAGCCTATCATAGGTACATATGCAACAGAACATGTCTCCGCTTTGAATCGACTAGATTCGTCTTGAGCCACCTGGGTGAGAAGAGATGGCAGGTTACGGTAGAGCCTCTTCGCTGTAACGCTCGATAAAACTGTCGAAGCTTTGATTAAAAAAAAACTACAAGCTTACCTTCATCAAGTTCCGGATCGACACCTGGGCTCATCACAAGACGATTCTCCGAGTAAGACTCTCCGAAATCAATCTACAATAGCAATTTATTTGATAAACCATGGCAAGGAAAAGGGTGGGCAATACCATAGCATTCAGCACGACATAAGTTTCCTCCAAAACATCCCCGTAAAAGCCAATGTCATCTTTTAGCAATTTCAGTGGAGATCCCATGGTTTCCAAATATCGACCGATCATCACTGAGCTTGATATTGTCTGAAGTAACGATAAAATGTGTGCATTTTTAAAACCCGGTCAGAAGTTCAACTAACCTTGTACAGATTGTCCCAGTGTAGTACTTTTGCACTGCCATTCCGTAGCTGATTGAGAATATACTGGAATACTAACTCAGAGTGGAAAACCTTGTTTAATGAAAGCTTACCCTCATGCTTCTTAATGAACCAAGAAGGGTATGCAGTTTTCCTGTGAGCTCCATGTTACAATCCTACATTCAAAATAACCTTTGCTGTTCTTTATGATGCAGACAATGCGCACGACTACACTTTGCGGTGAATAGCTTCGCGTTTCAGACTCTATACTATCACAAAGCTCCTAACAGCTGAATCGTTCACCGATCGCTGCACCAGTCTTCCGCATTGTGTGCGTCAGTGAACTGTATATAACGGTATATTACCTGAAGAAAATACGAGACCGCTTCCTGCCTTTCACTAAGAACTTCGCGATTCGTAGTGGGATGCTCGAACCATTTTCTGAACCGCATTTTAGAGAGCGAAAATAAAAGCTATATTTATCACCTCAGCATGCGTTTTCCAGGAGCTGATCTACACTTGTTGCACAGACCGAACAAAGATTTGCATTCTGACTTAGCTTTGGCAGCTCTCTTCAAAAAAAGATAGATGTTTACGATCAACTGTAGAAGATCTCTTACCTTGTGTTCGTTTGGAAGAAATATATCCAAAGCAAGATATGTATTACTGTCAATCTCAACCATTTCATCGCTATACACAGGCAGGTCATCAAAAAAACGAATTAAGATCATGAGAGCTTACATAGATATAGTTTTGATTGCAGTCACAGGAGTGCGAACGTTAGCGGTCTCAAATTCGACTCCAACGCGTGCAGAATCCATATATTTCAGTAAGGCACCCATAGCTCGGACCTTAACTTTCGCGGTGATCAAATATCTTGC